CTTATACCTACAGCTTTCACCTTTATAAGTAGATGAAAGGTGTAAATACAAAAGTTGTATAGTATTGGTTACATTTTTAGAATCGATGGTCAAAAACAAAAATTGAATGTCAGAAATGTGAAATGTCGCATGCTTTCAGCTTTTTTCAAATGGGATGCCCTATATTTGGTTCTATATTCTTGAAGAGCACAATTTCCCGATTCCAAAAGTATACATATATATAATATATATATGTATAAAGCGAACAAACTATACATATTATGTATAGTTTGTCTATATTTGGTTGAGCCGTCTTCAACATATTTGGTTCTAAAAATTTTGAAAATACTATCAGAGAAACCAAGTAGAGTTTGTTTCGCAAGGGTTTGTACTTGCCACCAGCATTTGCCTCCCTTGTTCAACAAATAAAAATTGACTGAAACAAATCAATGACGTCAAAAATGTTCGTCGGTTCTTGAACTAGAAGTCATTCATTTTAATTTGTCAAAAAAATTGAATGTGTCATATGAATTAATTTACGACAACTCTTTTTTTTCCAGTTTCAAGGTCAAGTATGAACTCTGGTGAAACGAACTTTACCTCAAATTTTACCTGCAGCTTTCACTTGTATAGGTAGAATGATTCACAAAATTAGTAGTAGGATAGTATTTTTACATTTTTTGGAGCCAAATATATAAGAGACTGTTCAATCAAATATAGACAAACTATATATTTTTGGAATCGGGGCGTTGTACTCTTCAAGAATGGGCGGATGAAATCTCGACGGAACGCAGGTAAATGTCCCCAAAAAGAGGAAATAAATCTGGCATGAAATGATTCACAAGCGTTTGTCGTACGGGTGATGGACAGACTTTCGTTGGCACATATATGGGAAGGAAATTGGGCATATTGTTGAATGTAAACTTCCAACAAATATTCGGAATATTTATCTAACTGATGTTGACCGTTTGGCTTGAACGACGAACGACATCAAGTCAAAAATGAAACAATCTTCAATTTTTTGCGGATCCAAATATGTCAAATAAATTGTATATTTAAGCCATTTGCCAACTTCGGATTTTTTATCTTTGAATTCGCTTGTCAAACCAAAAGATTGAATTTTTCGAAACCAAGCTTGGTGTAAATGGAAGCTACAACCATTAAGTTTTACATTAGGCCAGATAATAAGTAGAGCTGAATTAATAGCTTTCTCGAAATCAACCAACACCTGAAAAGGTTCTAGTAACATACCCATTTGAAAAAATTTTGATTTTATTGAAGAAAATAGATTTGCATACGTGATGGTAGTCTTGTTTGGTAAAAGACAGTATAATGTATAATAGTGGCATATAGTGTCCATTTTGAATCCCATGAATAGTGAAAAACTGATAAAAATATTTTGTACAGTACGAAAAGGTACCATCCATATATAAGGTATTCATCTTTGACAACAGACGGATGTTAGTGTTACATGAAAAAACTATAATATTGTGCGCTAGACTATTTATAAACAAAAAATTTTCACCTTTGCTAGTTTTAGGAAAATATTCTTCAACTATCTGATGTACTTCATCAGTGTTTTTTTGGTAGTGGCCCTGGTAGTACTTTTGGACGGCAGTTGTAGATATTTCTTGCTATAGTGTTCACGTCTGAGATTGTCAATTCTTTAGACAGATTTCATGATAAAACATTACGTATTATTTTTGAAGGTTTTTCTGATATATATTTTTCTGCTTTGACTGCTTTTCGCTTGGCCATATTTGTAACAATTTTTTCTTCCGACACTTCGTTTATCCGCTTCGTGGTTGTGCACTGCATCACTCCTAGTCACTGTCAAGTCACAATCGATGATATAAATTTTCGCAGAACATTTCAAATTCCTTTTGATACATCGCCAATAAATTTCACCACTTTCCAATTGACTGTCTTTAGGAAACGAATGATTTTCAAAAATAAGTATATCACCACCACGCGAACTTTTGGTTAATATCAGTGCCATTTTAAAACGTATCACCTCTACGACATGCAAAGTGTTAAGCGAGGAAAAATTATTATAACAAATTAAACACAAGGTTCTGCAAAAGGGTAACAAGGCATAGGGTGGTTATTGCAAATCCAGGTACCATCGTCACCAAAAGTAACTGGGATAACATCACATTAGCTCTTGTCCTATTATATGAATTTTATTGTCAAATATTTATCAAACTATGAATCAATTAAATGCATTGAAATGAACGACAGTAGAATTAGTCCAGAAGATTATTATGCATTATTTGTGTCCCAGATACTTTTGGTGACGATGGTACCTGGAAGCGGCCTAATTAATATTTAATTATTTCCTGTCTACCGTCGAAATTTCATAATATAGATTTAACACAGCATATACAAAAACAATCAGCAGGCTACCTCGAGTGACGGCCTGTGTAATAGAGGAATTCAAGGTCTGGATGTCACTAGAGGCCATTTTGGGATACGAGACAGGGCCTGATTAACAATAATTTAGATTTTTTCTTTCGTGTCACAGAGTCGTATTGGCTTTAAATAAACTAATTTATTATTACTTACATATAATAATATTTATAATTACTAATTTATTATTATTAAATATACAAGAATGATAACTGATAACACCATAAATGACAACACGAATATACTAAATCACTTTAAAACTCATAACTGAAATTCCGCTCTACACCGCATGCCTATGACCTCCGTCAGAAATAAACAAAATAATTGGAATGTCGGCGTCCCTGCCGTTTAATGACAGGATGGTATCCCTTAATGGCGGCGTGCGCAGAAAAGATGCGCGTGAGAGTTAGCCTGCTGATTGTTTTTGTATATGCTGTGGATTTAATCTACATCGGTGTCATTATGACACATTTAGCATTGTCATTTGAATGTCATTAGGTCCTTCATAATAGAACTAGTGCGTTTAAGAATTCATTAAAACACCCAATTTATGAAATGAAAAATATACCAAGAGAAAGTTAGTTACCAAAAAACCTTTTCATTGATGCTGTCTTGATATTCGAAGAGACACTTCCGAACTCAGAATCACCAATGTTAATACCATTTTCCACTACAAAACTGAATTTATGAACTTCAATATTGAAGCGGCCAAAGTCAAAATTCTAAAAATCAACAAGGAGGTTGTCGACTAGTACGGGCACCTGCTAAATTTTGAATTTCAATTTGAAAAGTTTTTGCAAATCAAATCTATTTGGACCTTACACGCGTTTCATTATGGTGTTCATATCGAACTAGTATCATTAACAACTATAATGACCTTTGCCAATTCTCAGGTACTTCTCGTCGAAATTTCGCCCGCCGTCAAGAATATAGAATGAAATATAGGGCATTCCATTTGAAAAAGGCTGGAAACATGCAAAATTTCACATTTCTGAGATTCAAATTTGGTTTTTGACCATGGTTTCTAAAAATTCAACCAAAACTGTACAACTTTTGTATTCACCTTTCTTTCACCGGTAAAGGTAAAGGCTGTAGGTGGGATGTCAATGTATATTGACTGTACCTACCTATTCAAAATCACCTTATTCAACTAAATTGTTCCCCCATTCCCATATTTTTATGGACCATTCCTTCGAAAAACCGTATCTGCAGAATGCGCTGCCAAAACTTATCCAATCTGGTTTACTTTAACTTAAACTGCCTCCCCCCCTTTCAAAAGGCCTGTATCCGCCCCTGACAATACAAGAACTACCTATGTCATAATTATTATTATAGCGCATCAGCCGCTATTTAGTCCCCCAATTCCCCCACAGCACCAATTCGTGAATAAAGAATATAATCAACTTTGGATGGGTCGATTATTTTGTGGTCCATATTTACCGACATGACCTGTTCCACCGGTTCATCTTTAGCCGTTTGTCAAAGAGGGTGATTCCTATGTTGATCTCCAACTTTTTCCTTGGCATTCGTCGTTGCCTTTGATCTCATCCTTTCTATTTTTTCTTTTGAGGTGCAGATAGAAGGTCTTCACGGAAACGCTGATCCGATTGACCTGATATCCAGCTGATATAATTTGTCTTTGTTTAATCGTATTCATTAAAGAAAGATGAAAAACAAATAGCTGGTACGATCCATTTCCGGTCGGATTCGCCAATGTTTATAACGCGATTTTCAAGTGGATGCAGATCCATCGGATCGATTGGATCGCATTGAAACGTCACGTTATAAACGTAGTCAGTGTTTCTCTAATTTGCCACAGTACGGGTTAAATTGATACAATTCAGTAATGTTAAGTTTAGAAATCTGTCTATACTGCTAAGATTATATTAGAGACCACAATAGTACAATAAATTCATCTAATTACGTCTTAAGTCTCAACTGCAAGTTACATCAACCAATCCACACAATTTCAAATTTTAATTTAAGATCCACAAGACCACAAAGTACAAATAAAATACAAAATAGCAATATCCAGCGGTTACTTTCACGTTCACGTTGCGCGTCGTGTAAAAACAGGTTTTGGCCTGCGCCTGCGTGTTAGTAAGTACGCCAGAACTTAGCTTCAAAAATAAACAGCTGCGCAGTACGCCACTGACCTAATGTATGTAGGATCGATCGTTTTACCAACGTCAAAAGCTCTTTTCATATTTCTGTGCTTTCAAAAATGTATAAGTATATTTCTAATCACGCTCATGCGACTTTATCAAAAAACATGTCGTTTCACAGTTTTTGGCCGCCATCTTGATTATCTCGTTTTTGGTTGAGATATCGACTTGGTAACGTATTTTTGGATTCAGTGGGGTCAAATTAGCTAGGAAACACCATTAGCTAAAAAGTAACACGATTTGCTCCTAGGCTCGTAATGGAAGGCTTTTTTTCTAAAATATAGTCTTGACTATAATTGGGAAACGGTCAATTTCATTTGTTTATTTAACAAATACCGAGCTTTCGGAGCTATTTTTCTTCTTCGTCAGGGCTATAATAAAAATTTTACGGTCGTTATCCATAAAAATAAAATTCCTAATCTCACGATTCATTTTCAATATTCATAGCAAGAGCGAGATGGCGACAATATTCCTGAATATGGATGCGAGAAGAAAAAACATAAAAGAATTATATCATGGGACGAAGAAAAATGCGGTAGAAAGAAAAAGAAGAAAAACGAAAGCGGAGTGGTAATGATATTTTAACTTGCTTTGATTGCTATAATTTTCAACAAATTCTGTAACTAGGAAAGCGAATATGATAATGTTGAAGACTCTGATAATGGAAGCAGTATGAAATCTGCCAAACAATCAAAACGTTCTGTTTATGCCTCTTCAACTTCATCTACGGAAGAATCTAATGCAGGCGAAAATCTAACCATTGAAGAGGGCAAAGAGGCACAGGCTGACAAGGAAAGCATTGCAAAGCTAACTAGGGCCTATAAAGAGGCAAACGATTCTGACGATGATGATACTGATGCCCTGGACTCGATGTCGTTATTGGAGAGGCTAAAACGCGCTCGAAAATCAGAGAAAAGTAAGAAACCTGAACTGTCCAAGTCAGGAAAGAGAAGACGAGGGAGCTCAGACGAAGATGACGGTAGCAATGAGAAGTCGGAAACTGACTCGGATGCTGAATTTGAGCAGATGTTGCAAGATGCTTATGGATCTAACTCTGAATCCAGGTGAGCTTACATAATCAGTTCGGGTTTTGAAATAAATATCCCCTTATACCTTTTGAATCTAGTCAAAATCAATCTTGTATATGTATTCAGCCTGTTCAAGAAATATTGTAATCAATTAACTTATTTCCAGTCATAGCAATGTCGCTGCGCCTGTGAAAAAAAGAAAAACCAAACGCATTGAGGTGAATAAAAACAATTTCTCTATGGGATAGTTAATTAATACTTTTTTAGCACCAAGATTACTGTACAGAATGTAATCAAGGAGGAGAAATCATCCTGTGTGATATTTGTCCAAGAGCTTACCATTTGGTTTGTTTGGAACCTGAACTTGATGAGGTTCCTGAAGGAAAGTGGAGATGCCCTCGTTGTGAAAAAGCGGATCTTACTGATCAGGATGACGAACATGAAGTGGATTTTTTTTTCTGTCTGTTAAGCTTTAATTTAAATGTGATTTCGTTTTAGGAATTTTGTAAAATCTGTCAAGATGGCGGTGAACTTATTTGCTGCTCGTCTTGTCCTTTGAGTTACCATATACATTGCTTGGACCCACCTTTGCCTGAGATCCCTGAAGGAGACTGGAACTGTCGCCGATGCGCCTGTCTACCTCTGAAAGCCAAAGTGGCCAGTATTTTGACTTGGAAATGGATCGAAAGCAAAGCCACAGTAAGTTCTAATCAAATTTCTTGCATAAAAAATATTGATGGCTGGCTTCAATGTTACACCAGAATGAAATTATCTTTCAAATGATGAAATTAATAAAAAACCAATAAGTAGGTTAATTGGTAAATAATAATTTTAGAACGGAAAAGAAGAAATTACACAACATCGGAGAAGAGAATTCTTTGTGAAATGGAAGGAATTATCTTATTGGCATTGCGATTGGATAACGCAAACACAATTGGAAATTTTCCATCCGTTGATATTACAGTGCTACATCCGAAAATATGATATGGAAGAACCACGTAAATTGGAGGAACTTATTGGTAAGCGTCAAGTCATGTTTTTTTTTGCTATATTTTCATTGTTTGGGCACTGGTACTACAAAGTTGCACCTCGATGTTGAGCAGTTAATGAAATGGGGAACACATTAATTTCCAATACCGATCGAAACTGATATTTCGACGTTTTCATTTTTGAATCATATTACTGATAGACAATGGTGATACACCTCCAAATATCTACTTACACCTTACACATCGAGGTCTATAGCAATAAACTTTGGAAGGCTGCCGATAAATTATGCTACCTCTTAACCATTGTAATAATAATTAGAAAAATAAATCAGTTAAACCATGGCGGAAGCAGTGACAGATCTATTTCGGCATATAGAGGTGTAAATTGAGGTCACAAATTCAAGTAGGTAAAGTCCGACAAATACCATTTTAAAGTCACGTGATATTGGTGACAAAAAACGTATGTTCATTGATTATGTCGTTGATATCACCTACAAAAAGCTCAGGCGCGGATCCAGACCCAAATTAAGGGGGGGGGGTCATACAAAATATTGAAAGAAGGGTGTCTGATTATAATTTGACACCCCACCTTTATAGGTAGATGATAGGTTTAAACAGAAAAGTGGAGCAGTTTTAGCTTATTAGTTATTATTGTCAGAAATTTGAAATTTTGCGTATTTTCAACTTTTTTCAAATAGAATGCCTTATATTTGATTCTATATTCTTGAAGAGCACAATTTTGCGATTCCAGAAATATATAGTTTCTCTATATTTAGTTGAGCCGTCTCCACCATATTTGGCTTCAAAAGTTTTAAAAATACTATCAGAGAAACCAAGTGTCTCAAATTTTACCTGAAGCATTCATTAGAATGGTTCACAAAATCGTCAGTAGGATAGTATTTTTCCCATAGATTTAATATCTACTAACGTGACAAGATAGGTAACGCCCTATCTAAAAGTATTGAAGCAAGGTGGCACAAACATGTGTTAAAAATCTCTACGTATTCCCAAGAAATACGTAGAAGTATTTTATTAGAAGTAAAGGCTCCCATAAGCGTACCCATAAAAAAATCATTTTTTGAAATATATATTTAACTAGCTAATGACCCGCTGCGTTGCCAGCGTGAAAATACATTTTGAAATAATACCTACACTTTTTTTTCAAATTTTTTTGTTGATTTTCTATTTAATTTTTTTTTTTTTTTATCCGATACTAGAGTCGCTTGCCAGTGAGTTCAGTGACGCATTTTAAGCACTCCAGAGCTGTTCTAGAGCGCCCAGAGCTGTTCTAGAGCGCCCAGAGCTGTTTATAGGCGTTCCAGTGTATCAGAGCTTCGCGCAACTGAACTTTTTTTTTCGGGATAAGAAATAGCCTATATATCCCCTCTATAGTCGAATTCGATTGACCGGATTAGATCGATCTGGTTCAATTTAAGCGAACCACACTGTGTTCGATTGAGGTTGGATCAGTGCACCCTCATCAACAAAAAAATGAATACGTGGTATTAAATTCAAGATCGGTCCAGCCGTTGTCGAATTCAAAAAATAATAAAGTTACGTCGGTTAAATGGCAAGCCAATAAGGGCGGGTATTATAAAACTTGAAGTTAACTTTTTGAATTACATGTAATCCCAGAAGGTAACTTTTAGTTAACTCTCAAAGTAGTTTTATAATACCCGCCCTAAATGAAAAGTGGCAACGTTGTTTCATGCTGTCAAAAAAAAGTTGGGTTAAGTTGTTTTGTTATGTAATGTGAATGAGTTTGTTTACAATTAAATTAATAATTAATTCAAAATTAATTTCTTTTTCCGAGATGCGTAACCTATCTACAAACCTTCCTTGGGATGGCCATAACAATCTACCAAAGTTTCATCGTAATCGGATAAGTGGTTTTGGAGCGCATATCCGGATACCCCGCGAACATTGATTTTTATATATATAGATTCCAGAAAAAGGTGGTTTTAGTACCGGTACTTTTGCTCTCATTTGACAGTCGTTAAAAATAATCAGGAGTTTGAATGTGCTCTAACCACGCATCATACTTATAGACCTTGGCCCATGCAAAACTTTGACAACATATCAAATTCGTTAATCGAGAGCAAAAGTATCGGCCCTTAAAAATGATAAATTCAAGCACGTAAACTAAAAGCAAACTGGACTGTTTCCAAAAAAAAAATACATGAGATGGGACCAAAACAATAGGTCTGTTTCTGCACAAATCACAAACCAGTCAGAGAGAATTTCATTGGTTGAAAACAGTCAGAAAACTAGTTTCAACCAATGAAATTCACTCTGAGTGATTTGTGATTCTAATATTTCGTTAGATTTTTTATTTTTTTTTTCATTTTTTGCGGATTTATATCAAAAAAGAGTAGCCTTGTAATAATTTAACAACAGTACCATAAAAAACATTGTTTATTCAGAATTTTAATAATAATATTACTTGAGGTAGCTACTGACAACAAAAATATACTTAAAGCAAATTGATCAATAATGCAAATACTGAAAATATAATGCACTGAACTTTCAAGTGGATATTGGGTGGTATGAATAAAAACGAAGTATCTGCTACTACTACAAGTATTAGTAGATTCTCCGTAGTATTTAGTTTAAAACGAAGTAGATACTATACATTCCGAAACTACCGGAAATTAGTAAATCCTTCTTTTTGAAGTGAATACTACGTAGATTATACCTACTAATACTTGTAGTAGTAGTAAGTACCTACTTCGTTTTTATTCATACCATCCATTGAATACTTACGAAGAGTACTATGAGTACCTATATTTTTTTAAGTTGACATAGCATCAGAATGATATTATTGTTACCATTAAGGACGCCATGTATGATTTAAACTTATTACCTAGTACCTACTAACCACTGTTTAGTAGTCAAAGTAGAGGCAGACCAAACCACTACTTGGCCAACCAATAATTTGGTTCATTTGTTGACAGTTTATAAATTTGTTGATAAATTAATTCAAATGATTATTCCACTCATGTGTTAAAAATCCCATAAGACAAGTGATAATTTTCAGAATAACCGCGAAAATTCTCTTTTCCATTTGTTTAACTAGAGAGAATTACAGCGATTATACAACTCACTGTACATTATTCCCATATGACACGAGAGGCTTTATAAGTGATAATCCTTTTGCACGGTAACTGGTGTTTTGACATTTTTTGACAAAAAATTTAAATTTTTGATTCGTGAAATTATTAATTAATAAAGAATTGAAGTTTAGTTCGTTGTATAACCTTTTGAATACCACTCGATGTTTCAGGATTACCTAATACTTTTCCCTGACACTCAACGCGTTACAGGTAAAAGTATTATCCGGTAATCCTGAAACCTCTTGTGGTATTACATTCGATAATTCTCTCATGTTATTGCATACATGGTTGTCATGCTAATTTTTGATACAAACAAACGGTTCCTGATAGCAACCATTTATTTGTATTGTTTGTATCGTTTAATACATATTTATTTCCATATTTTTTGCATTCTCATACGTGAAATAATCCTCTAAATACCATTTGAGCTTCAAAATGAACCAGATAATTTTTCACTCATGCGTGTTTTCTCTGCAAATTTTAAAGAAAACACGCAATCGTGAAAAATTATCGGTAATTTTGAAGCTCTCGTGGTATTATCCCCGAAAATTAATTTCTTGCTCCCGGCAAGTTCCAAATTGAGCCGAACTTCATCCCTTTTTGAAAGTTGGCAAACTTTTGGTTTTATTCAATTGAATGGTGGACACAACACCACTAATGAAGATTATTCCAGTGCGTTTAATTCCTAATTGAGGGGTCCAAACTAATCACGAATATAGATTCTTCAAAAATCAAAATTAATAATTTTTTTTACATACTTAAACCTATGAATGAGTAGCTCAACAAGTACCCCTCAATCTGGACAGCACTCTAGAAGCGCTGGTGCTTGCAACCAGGCGCGGCTCCTCTGTAAGGTCATTCGGTCAATGACCCACCAAAAAATCAAACAATAAATTTTCAATTAAGCACCTTGAATATTACGTTTTAAATTAACCAACATCACGCTCAACAGAATACAGAAGTCGAATTATTTTGCGCATATTGGGTACCCGCCTTTTAAAATTACAAATACAGGCCTAGCTGCGCTCGGCCGTATTCAAAATTGGGCTTATAGCTTTGAAATGATCATAGGCGAATGCAATAGGAATCAGAGAGAGACATAACGGGCGTAAATGAGTAAGATAAAGAGGCACATTTGCTTCCATATGTTCCATCACGTCGACGGCCGGCAATGGCGCCAGATCCTCGATCGATCGATATGGGTATTTATCGGAATGGAACAAGAGCGCTCAGAAATTCGACGATTTTATTGTCGTTTTTCAATCGCGTTTATTGAAGAAAGATGAAAAACAAAAGTCCTAGAGTGTTGGGGTGTCCAGAGGTATTTTTCTTAAAACAATTACTGAATTGTCATTCTGCACATTGTTTTTGTTTTGATTTTTTGAGTAATCTGTCCGGAATCTTTCTTTAATCGCTTCACAAAAATGGGTTCCCTTGTTCAGGAAATAATATCTTTAAATTCCAGTGGGGGATTGACTTTTGGAATTAAAGAAAAGTGGTCGTCCAAAAGCAAAGCTTGATTTATGCCAAACCACGAAAGAGCAGTCTAGCTTGAGTGCATTGTCTATGCTCAGTATTGAGAAGGCATTTATCAAAAAAAATGGGAACTTCAATGAACCACTTTGCTCATCAGAAGGATAGGAGAATTGATTTGTTGTTCAAACGTGTCTAAATTTGGGACTCAGTCGACTTAAACAATCAACATTAGACCCACCCAAAGTAAGTTTTTTTTTTTTTTTCTATTTAAAATGTAGGGATGGGTCTAATTAACTAAATTGTTGTTGTATTTTCTTTATTATTTAAATATTTACTAACTTATTGCATGAATTCTAAAAAGGTTTCTAATTCTAACCTGTTGTTTTCTACTTGACGTAGACATAAAGACATAACCTGAAAATCCTGAAATTAGGAGCAAGG